ATCCCGCCTCCCCCTCCGTGAGCACCGGACCGCACCGGCCCGGCCGTGGGATCCCCGGGCAGCCCGGTCACATGATCCCCGGCGTGCCGGCATCACGTGGCGCCCTCTCATGTGACCAGGCGAGCGCAGCCATGTGTCCTGCGGGGCGTTCTCCGGGGCGGCCGTTCCTGCACGGTCTCGGGGTGCTGCGGGAAGGGCCGAGCCGGACCCTACGGGGGTGTAGGAGGTTGGGGTAGAAGCATCAACATCGATGCTGGCCCGGGTGTTGAGGTGGAGCAGGGGAGTGAGGGGCCTGTGGGGGTGCCGGGCGATGAGGCGGCTGGCGGGTGTCGTGTGCCCCCCGAGGGGCCGTGCCGTGCCTCGCCTCGCAGCTCCCGGTCTCACAGCAGCCGTGGTGTCCGTGCTGACTGGTCTTCCCTGCTCTGGTTTCGGTGCCGGCAGCCCAGCCACCGCGCCGTCCCCGCAGATGTAGGGGAACCGCTGGCAGAGGACGGGGTGGTTCCACTCCGGTCCCACTGCTGGCCTCTGCTGTTCAAACCTCTGCAGCATTTGTCTCCTGGTGCTGAATCGGTGCTGCCGTTTGCAAGGAAAGGTCCCTTTCAAGGCGTGTTTGAGAAGGAAGAGCTGGGGAGGAGTGAAAGCTCAGCCCAGCCAGCACAGGGACCCATGGCAGCTTGGCTCAGCACCAAGTGGAGGTGAGGGAAGTGGGAAGGTAGCACAGGAGAAAATAGAGGTGAGGATCCATGGTGAGGTTTGTTGGTTTGTGGCCACCTTTGTGGCTCACCACGGAGCGGTTTGTGAGGGAGAAGGTCTGGAGGATGCCCCTTACCCTCAGCGGGAGGATGTCAGCGTGTGACATGAGCAGAGCGTGTCCCAGTAGTGGTGGTTTGCTGGTGACCCTGGGCATACTGGGGAGAGAGGGCGCTGACGCTGCTCTGAGAGCAAGTGGGGAGCAGCATGAAATTGTTTAGTGGGTGATTTCTTTTAAGTTGTTGGCTCCAGAGGGAGACCCCAGCAGATACCCTAAGGGCATGCAGCCCTGAAGGCAAAGAGGAATGGAGAAAGTTGCATTGCAAACTGGACAGGGCTGAAACTGCTAATATGGTTGTGAGTAAACTCAGCAGTGCCTATGACCTTGATCTTGTTATGCCAAGTGCTGTATAAACATGCAATAAAAGGCTGCTTTTACCCCAAAGGGTCAGTGCTTCGTCAGCTTATTCAAAATGTTGCATATAGAGGAAGGGTTTTATCTTACTGAAGACCAACGGAGCTGCTAATAGGGAGATTTAAAGGATGTGGCCATGTGTGGGAAGCAGAATTTCCACATCTGCTGTTGCCTTCTTCAACCACGGAGTGGCAAGCAAAGCAAAGCATGCGAGATCGGTCTGGTTGTGGCTGTCAGGAGGTAACGAAACCAGGCAGAAGTCAGGTCCAGCCTGGCTTGGGTGAGGAAAGAGCAGCACCAGGCTCCAGTGATGAGTGCGTGGCTCTGTTCAGGGCTTCTCCAGGGCTGATTTTTCACTCGGGTTCCTGCTGGAGAAGGTACAGAGACCCTGCCTGCCGCTCGTCTGAAACGTGCGTAAGGTTGATCCCTGGTGGACTGGTCACTTGATTGAAAAAATGGGTTTTATTGTGTTAGGGCTTAAACAGTGTTATGCTTTCTTTATTAATTTAGTAGACTGAAAATTCTATACTCAGAGGAGTTCTGAGCTGTATTTCAATGATGTTATTTTTGATTTAATTTTCTGCACTCCCAGGTTTGTGCTTCCAGCGAAGTGTTCATTGTAATGAAGACTTTGAAATTCCTGATTCTGGGGGGACGTTGTTTTTAAAACTGGTTCAGCTTGATGCCATTGAGCAGGATTTCTCTCTGCAAAGGGTGAGGCTCAAGCAACTTTCTTCCCACCTCTCCAGACAGGAGAAGGCTGTGCCACAGGAGGCTCTTCTGCTTCATAAACCACTTCAGACAGGTTAGTTTAAGATGTTGAACTGATACAAAGAAAACTAGACACGTTTGCAGGAAAAGATTTGCCTTTGCAGTGGGGAGGAGAGGCTGGAACCGCTCCTGGGAGTGGATCCTGCGCAGGCTGAGGGGGAAGGATGTGCAGCAGCACACGCAGCAGGATTAAGATCTTATTTTTAGACTACTGCTTATCTAAATTTTGTCCCAAAGAGCTTTGTGGAGTTAGCAATGGCTGCGAGGTGTGTAATCCAGGGCTTTAGGGGAAGAAGAACAGATTTGTACTGATTGCCAAGCTTTAGGAAGAGGTTGGAGAGATCCATGAGGTGACATGGGCAGAAACATTTGTCCTGGGGTAAAGAAATGGTTTTTCATCAAAACCCTTTGTGTAAACCAATCCTAATAAAATAATGGCATTAAAAAGGCTTTTAGTGTCTTCAGAAATTAAAATGCTTGCTGGTGGATGGGACAAAGAGCCAAAGGCTTTCCAAGATCTGAAGAGAGAAAGAAATGGTCTGGTTTTGTTCCTCCCCTGTCAATAATACTGAGCTAATCCAAAGATACTCAACTGAAAAGGCAAGTCCCTGTCTGGTGGTGCTTTCAGGCTGTCAGCCCTGGGCAGCTCCAGCTGGACCAGCTCCTTCAAATCTCCTTGGCCTTAGTGGTTTGTCAGAGCCAGAGGTTCTTGGAGTGACCTCTGGACCCAAACAGTGCAGTCTTGTGTTTCTAAACGGCTACGTTTGTATTTTGCGTATTGATTTAAAATTATGGAAACCCTTCTTCCATCCGCCCCAGGTTAACCGAGTTCTTGTTCTGTGAAAGTGGAGAGATCAGCACCTCTTGCTTGAATAACCTGTGGTGCTGCACTGCTTCTCCGTGGATCCGTTTCTGCTGTCTGTGCCAGCTGAAGAACGGCCACTGTCAAAGTCCTGTGGGCCCAGCTGGCAGGGATGTTCAAATGTATTGAAAGAGGAGAGGTTAAGCATAAAGTCAGCTATAAACCACCTTATCACAGAGTCACAGCATGTCAGGGGTTGTCAGGACCCTCTGGAGCTCCCCCAGTGCAAGCCCTGCCAGAGCAGGATCACCAGAGCAGTCACACAGGAACACGGCCAGGGCTTTGGGTGTCTCCACACAAGGAGACTCCACAGCCTCTCTGGGCAGCCTTGCACACAGTAACTGTGTAACTTCAGTTTTCCTCTTTGGAGCCAGTCTGATCTCTGTATGTTCATTTTAAACGATTCCCAGAGCAATGGGTTCAAGCGATGCCTGTTGGTGTTTGCTGTGTAACTCCTGAGCGGTGCTGAATGGGAGTGCAGCCTCCCTGGCCCCCCTGCCTGCTGCAGAGCTGCCTGGCTCCCCTTCCCTCTGCTGCTCTGGCAGCGTGGAACCGCAGCAAGACTTGGAGCAGTCTTGCTGAGAGTGAGGATGTGGTGTATTTGGACACTCCATCCTCTCCCTTGCTTTCAGGTGACAGCCTGGGAGCATCCCCTGGGACAAGAAAATGCAGCTTTATTCTGGAAGAGGTCCCTGTGCTTCAGCGCGTGGAGCAAGTGGAGAAAAATACAGGAGAAGGTGGTCAAGGATTCGACAAGGGGAGGACTGGACGTTGGTCTGTGTACTGCAGAGGCCAAAAAGCGGTGGAGGTGGGAAGCTGGCCCTGCAATTGCAGCAAGGCCAAGGTTTCCTGGTCTTGTGTATGCCCAGCTTGGAGCTAGAAGGGGGCACCCCCTCCCCAATCAGGTGCTTGTCGTGGTCCCTCCCAGGCATGGGTTTGTGCTGCTGGGTAAAGAGCAGGACCAGGGAGCTGAGCCAGCTGGAAAAGAGTTTCCCTTTCCTCCCGTTGAGTTAATTTTCTGAGGGATTGATCCAACTCACAAGACAGTCAGGGCTGACGGGAGGGCAGGGGCCACTGAAGCAGGCTCAGGGTGCAGCCTTGCCTCTGAGCAGCAGCTGGATTTCGGCTGGATCGTAGCCCAGGAAGACACGGTAGGACAGGGCCTTTAGCTCGCAGTGTGTGCTGACGAGGGGCACATGGGGGGAGTGACGAGGGAGCCATGCAGCAGAGGATGCGATGTGGCAGGCTGCAGCGTCTGGCCTCCCTGCAGAGCTTACGCTTACCCTAATCATTTTTTGGCCTGGTTGTCGTCAGAGGAAAGGTTTGACCTTGTCTTTTGCTGCTCCTATCCCTGGAAAGCACTGGGTGGATGTTCCCAGGGCTGCGCTAGCTGCTGCTTTGAGCCAGAGCTCAGCGTGGCAGCACTGGAGGTACAAAGAAGCCGTGTCCCTGAGGAGTGCAGCGCGGTGCTGAGCCTTAGACGCAGCTTGTGGTTTGTGCCGGCCGGGTGACCGAGCGCTAACGTCAGCCAAGGCAGAACGTGCAGCAGCCTCCTGATAAGATCCTTTGGTAGCGGTGGCACCGTGACCTTCATGAGGTGGCTGCCCGAGGAGCGATGTGGCTGCAGGAGAGCCTGGCCCTGCTGGCATTGCTCTCTGCATGTCTGTGCCCTGTGCCAGCTCTGATGCAGGTGCATCAGGAGAAGGGGGTCTGTGACACCCCTAAAATGAAGTTTCCTGCTGTATCTGGCTGTCTTTGCTCCACCTGATTTCATTCTTCATGGAGGAAGCCAGGAGGCTGGTTAATCCCTCTGCAGAGGGAATTTGAGGACCCTCACCCATGGAGCTGCTCCAAGCATCTCCCCTGCAGCCAGCATCGCTGCTCCTGTGCTTCCAACTGCAGCAGCGGGGCACCCCTGGGGAGCTGTAGGGCCAGAGAGGAGGGCAGGGGGCCGACTGCCCCTTCTTGCCCCTGCTGTTCGGTGGGGACAGGAGTGCTGAGGAGGGGACATGGTGCTGCACACACGGCTATCCTGGACCACACCAGTCCCTTGTGCAGCACAGATGCATCTGGCAGTGTCTGCCCAGCCTCCCTTGTCACCAGCTGCCTTCCTCCAGTCCCAGCTGCCCCCTGCTCCTGCGTGACCCAGATTTGTGTTTGTCTTGTCCTCGTCAAATAACCTAAACGGGTGCTCTTGTGCTGGGGTTGCTGTAACACGCTGGGCACCCTCACCCTGCATCGCAGCAGTATTTGTATTGATGGGTGCCCGTTGCACAAGTGAGGGGGGATTATGACCCTGCTCCTGCCCCGTGGGTCTGGGGAGAGCTGGACCGCATGGTGAGGGGTGCTGTGTGGGTGCTCTCTACGAGCACCCTCATCCCATGGGGCAAGGGACGGGACAGCAGCGGGGAGAGGAGGCAGAGCTGGAGGGGAGGTGAGAAGCCTTGGTCAGAGATGGGAATAGAAAACGTTTTATTTTCTCACGCTGAGGTCTCACCTGACTCGGTGCAAGTACTGGAAGTCCCGGTGCCAGGATTTGTCGCCATTAACAGCCCGAGGTCCCACAGCGGCATCCCTGTGAGACAGATCTGTGCGCTTGCGGCTGAGCTGCTCTCGGGAGCCCGGATTCCTGACCTGGAGGAGAGATGGGGAGGGGGGCAATTGGGGTCGCCCGTGCTGCGCCTCACGGAGGATGCTGGGCGTGGGGAGCGCCGTGGGGCGGCCGGTGCAGAGCCGCACGCTGGA